CCTCCTACTTGGCATTTGTGGCACCCCATCTTGTCCCCACTGCTGCCTCCTAAAAGTCAAGGGAAAGCCAGCTGTGTCCTGGGCTGCATCAAAAGAAGCATTAGCAGCAGGTCAAAGGAGGTGATTCTTCCCCTCTACTCTGCTCTTGTGAGACCCCACCTGGAGTACTGTGTTCAGATGTGGGGCCCCCAACATAAAAAAGACCTGGACCTGTTGGAGAGAGTCCAGAGGAGAGCCACAAAATTAATCAGAGGGCTGGAGCACCTCCCCTATGAGGACAGGCTGAAAGAGTTGGGGTTGTTCAGCCTGGAGAAGAGAAGGCTCCGAGGGGACCTAATAGCAGCCTTCCAGTACCTGAAGGGGGCTACAGGAGAGATGGGGAGGCACTCTTTATCAGGGAGTGTAGTGATAGGACAATGGGTAACGGGTATAAACTGAAAGAGGGCAGATTAAGATTAGACATTAGGAAGAAATTCTGCTGTGAGGGTGGTGAGACACTGGCACAGGTTGCCCAGAGAAGCTGTGGATGCCCCATCCCTGGAGGTGTTCAAGACCAGGCTGGATGAGGCTTTGAGCAACCTGGTCTAGTGGAGGGTGTCCCTGCCCATGGCAGGGGGGTTGGAACTCGATGATCTTTAAGGTCCTTTCCAATCCAAACCATTCTATTATTCTATGTCAACAAACTAGAAGAAGTCCAGATACTAAGGTGGCTGGGGAAGGAGCCAGACTCTTCTAAGAGGTGCACAATAAAAAAGTAAGAGGCTGTTCTCACAGGTTACAAGGAAAATTCTGATTGGATATGTGGAAGAAAATTCTTCCTACGAGGATGGATAAATACTGAGACAAGTGACCCAGAAATGTGTTCTTTTCTTCCCTCCTGTTAGCTCTCCCCCATGAAGTTTTTGCTCTTTGTATTTTTTTCCTGTGCAGTTTTACTGCTTTGCTGCATTTGGATGCCCCCTGGTGTCTGAGTTGAGACTCTTGTCATTAAGCAGTGTTTGTGGACAGCCCTCGTGGTCCAGCAGCGACACTGGTCTTTCAGTTCTCACCACATGATTGCTGAGGATGGAGATATTGGGAAGTCTATAAGGTCCAACACTGATGGGGGAAAAGGAGGAGATGTTTTAGGGATTGTTGCGGCACACGGATATGGGTAGCGTTTTTCAGTCTTTTTTTGCTCTCAGCATTAAAGTCAGCTTTTCTTAGTGATGTCTTTCTGCTGTCTGCATCCTCTACCAAAGGGAGGAAGGGAATAGAGGATCCCTTCTAAGGATAAAAGGAGTTATTTCCAGCTTCTGGCTTTACCACTATGATACAAGAGTGGTACCAGAATATCTCAAGAAGTGGAAATGTCATGTCTTCTGACACCTCTCAGTCTCAGACTTGGATTCTCAGGAGGTTCTTGGAGCTGCAGACATGTTTGAAGAGGACTGAGATGTGTAAGAATATGTAGGTGGGAATGGTTTTGTCACAATCGAGCCATGACTAAGTATATGGCACCTTTGTCACAGGAGCTATAAGATGTTCCATGCTATCTGCAACATTGTTTGTTATAATGTAGTTAATGGAGGTAGCCAGGTAATTCTGAATTTATGAAAAATAGAGTGAAGTAATAATGTTATCTTAGTTTTGTTGCCCTCATTGAAGTAGAAATTAAATCTGTGTAAAAGAGAAAGTATTATGATAAACTGAAGGAAGGGACTTTATAGTTATGATGTGACTGTTCTAATGCAAAATGTATGCTTCTATTTTAATGTATAGGTAAGCATAGTTATTATTTAATCTTAAATAACTGTCTTTTTGCTACAAGAGTATTAGGATCAAACCCAACAAAGCCAAAGAGGTTTCTTGTTTTTGACTGTTCTGACCCTTCAGGATTTATCAGCTTCTCTAACTGTTGTTCTGGACCAAGAGTGTTCTGGATGAAGTATACCAAATTCCACTGTTGTACCTGGATAATTACTTCTGCGTACAGATTTTGGCATTGTATCTTTTTATTGTTGATGTAATTCACTTGGTAGTTTCCTTCATAACTATAATAGCTAAGTGTTTGTATAGCTGCCTTTTAAAAATAATGTTCTTTGTGCAAAAACAAAAAAACCCCAAGGAAACGACACCTTGAAAAAACATCTTACAAGGTAAGACAAGTCCTCACACAGGTGTCATTTGTAGACTTAAGAGGTCAGGAGTATCTAAAAGAAAAATGCTGTTTGTGGTACATACAAAGAGCACATGTGTGCACTCAGATCATTCTGATTTGTTTTGTTTCCTTTTAGCAATTTTTGTTTGCCACAATAATTTAAATCACTATGTGTAGATAATTTTGAGTTAGGATCTCTCTTTTCACTGGGAAGAACTTTGGTGGGATTATTTGCCATGCTTTTCATGAGTACTGGATTGTTTTACTTTTTCAAATGTGTATCCAAATCTAGGATGTGCTGATGGAATTGTTGGAGCAGTGTGCTGATGGACTCTGGAAGGCAGAACGCTATGAACTCATTGCTGACATATATAAACTTATAATTCCCATTTATGAAAAACGGAGAGATTTTGAGGTACTGTATTCATCATAAGCAAATTTAAGCAAGAAAAAAAACCCCAATTTTTCTTAGCTGCATGACACATTGCACGTAACCGAACAAGAGTATTAAAATTGTGACTGAAATATCAGTGTATTGAAATTTTTTGTTTCATTTTAAATAATTGAATTTTTTTCTTTAAATAAATATAAATAATTTAAAATTAATCTTGCATATTGGCATCCTGATACAAGTGCTAAACCTATTACTACTGTTCAATAAAACTGTGGTTTTAGTTGTTAACTACAAGGACATCATTCATTGTTGTTTTAAGATAGCAAAGCTCTATGTTGTTCTTTTACTCCATGATTGTTTATTTTTAGAGGCTTGCTCATTTGTATGACACTCTTCATCGAGCATACAGTAAAGTAACGGAAGTTATGCATACAGGCAAGAGACTGCTGGGAACGTATTTCAGGGTAGCATTCTTTGGACAGGTGAGTATTATTTAACTTTAATGTCTGCTCTATGCAGTAAGAAAAACCTGAATTTATTTTACAAGGTATGCTATTTAATCACCTATATTGATACCATGACATAAAAAGCACAGGAAATGTAGTCTGTAAGAAATAATTAAACGCCATCAATAATTTAAAATGTTTATCAATTCCAATACAATTCTTCATTATTTTCCTCAGTAAATGTTTTGCTTTTTTTTCTTTTTCTTCTTTTATTTACTACCTTAAGGCAGCGGTAAGTTTACTATAATGTCAGTTCTTAACAATGTATTGACTTAATGTCTGTAGTGCTACAGCGTGGTTTGCAAGACTGCTTCTTAGATTGGCGTGCATTAATAGCCATTGCAGTTTAAAAAAATAACATTAGGTTCCATGCAGAGAACAAATCACTCTTTTCTATGCATCTATTGCATGCTTCGAACAAAAGTTCTGGCTGTGTATTGGACAGTTTCACATCCTCTGATATGTGTCTAGAATGCATATGTATCAGTATGGTATCGTGCAGTATCAAGTAATACACCTTCTACATGCATAGCCCAGTTGCTAGTTGTTCAGCTGAGCATGGAGAATTGTAAACTACTCTAAGCAGTATAACTTTACATGTATTCTGTTGTCTTTTATAACTTTATAGCAATACCAGTTTACAGACAGTGAAACAGATGTTGAGGTAATTACAGTAACTGCTTACAAAGCAAGCAATGCAGTAAAAACTACTGCATTTCACCTTAGTTTGATGTGGGTATTTTTGTCAATCTAGCCTGTGTTTATACATGATCTGTTGTGCTTTTCTATTTTGTCTGTTTCGTTTATGACAAAAATATTTATTTTCTGATTTTAAACATGAATTCAGACATGGCTTGTTGTTTTAATCCAATGAGCTGTTTCACTTTCCACGTGCTCTATATTGCACCTAGTTATGGTTTTAAAGCAAATGCATTGTGTAATTAAAATAAAGAAGTATATGCCAATATAGTACAACATAAGATCTTTACATAACTTAAATTTCATTTTCTGGAATTAATTTTTTATTACTGCACAAAGACATTTTTTCAGATTATTTTAATGTAAATCATTGCCAACATACTCACTTGTGAATCAGGTAGTCCTGTTGAGCAACAAGATTTCTGTTTTGGCAAGTGAAACAGTGCTGAAAGTTCACTTTTACTTAAAAGTGAAAAAAGTTATCTCAAAGGCTTGGCACACCATAAAATTACAACAAACCTTTAAAATTTTAACTGTGTGTTTCCATTATCTTTCACTCATTCTGCAGTAGATAATTACTTTTTTTTTATTTATTCTTTTAGGAAACCTTTTTTATTTAGATTTTAATTTCTCTTTATTTACATTTGCTTGAATCCTGATGTTAAATGTTTATATTTACTTTGAACCATACACATTATGTTCATCTTAATCATTGTCCTGTGTGTTTTTTTCCAAGATTTTGATTACTTCATTTTTTACAGGGTTTCTTTGAGGATGAAGATGGAAAGGAATATATCTATAAAGAGCCTAAACTCACGCCCCTTTCAGAAATTTCCCAAAGACTCCAAAAACTCTACTCTGACAAATTTGGATCTGAAAATGTCAAAATGATTCAGGATTCTGGCAAAGTATGATTTTTGTTCTCTCTAAAATATTCTATTAGTTTACCTCCTCTAATCCACTTGAAATACTGTTGGATCACTATCCGTTACTCATTTAGTTCACAAACGTGTCTTAAAACTCTGCTGGTTGAAGGGTATGGAGAAATATCCTCTACTAATAAGTTTAAGAACAACCAAAAAGATGAGTTTTCATAGTGTTACCTCTCAAAATAATAATTGTATCTTAGAAAAAATTTGGATTATGATCATATTCTGTGTTAACTTTAGCTATATTTCTTGCCAGTTCATTCACAGTCATGCTTTGCAAGTTCTTCACTTTCTGCACATTGAGAGCAGAGTCCAAACTTTGTTCTGAAATAAGAAACAGACCCTTCTTCTGAGAAAAGCACCATATGTAAATAACATTTTAATTCTATATCAATTGTTCTTGTTACCCTTTGCCTGTGTCTCTGAGGCTGTTCAACTTTATAAAGAAGCTGTTGAAAAAAAGATGCTCACATGAAGTCATCTGGTGAAACCTAGATTAGTCATGGGAAATGCTTTTCTTTGTAACTGAAGGCTCCAATACTGGTGAACTGAAGAGGACTACAGTATCCCATAGGCTGATAAGAACACATACTGCACAAGAGGGCCTCTGCATTCCTTTAATTCCTCAGCCAATTTTAAACTTTTGTTTGGCTTCACATTCATGGTGATTTTCTTCTATTGCAATTTCTTGTCTCTTCTGTTCCTTGTTTCTGTTACTAAGATTATAAAGTGATGGGCTTCTCAACCTGAATGTGCAGCAGTGGTGGACTTTTCAATATTCCTGCTCAAATTGGAATTTCAAAAAGAGAGGAGGATTTATGCAAAGGCTAAAGGTCATGCCATGGAAGGCAAGAGAATACAAATAATGATAATGTATGTGTTTGTCTGCATTTGTAGGGAACATTTTCTGTCAGCTCTATCAGAATGAGTACATAAATTACCATTTAAGTTCCAGTCCAATTAATCAAGCAGCATGCTCCAGTAAAAATGGATAACAGAAGGGAGACCTTAGCTCTGTTCCCAGTTTGCTCCAGGACTTACTTGGTGACTTCATGTGTGTATTTGCATTGTCATTTTTCACACTGAGTTCATAGAAGAGGCTCAGAGACAGGCAGAGTTAACATGAATGTTTGACCTCGGACTAAAATGGTAGACAAACTTTTAGAAAGATGCATGGGTTTAGAGTAACCTCCTTCTCTAATGATTGGGAGAATTTAAGAAAAAATAAACACTTGGTACTGGAGATTAGTTGCCACTTTTACCAAATTAAAGATCTGCCAGTCCATGAGGCTTTTACTTACCCAGTTCCAGAAACAAATTGAATAGTGAAGCCTTCAGTTTGACCTGCTTCCACCAGTATAATCTTTGGGACCTTCAAAGGGTGTCAGAGTTGGGACAGACAGGTTTTCATGTGTTTTCAGTAATTAACAGGTTAAGAGACCAAATTTAATTCCGAGTTCTATGACTACAGTTGAATCCACTTTATTCACAATGTATCTATTTGGGGGTTTTTTCATGTTTTTAAGGTAAATCCTAAGGATTTAGATTCCAAATATGCATATATTCAAGTTACACATGTAATTCCATACTTTGAAGAAAAAGAGTTGCAAGAAAGAAAAACAGATTTTGAAAGGACTCATAATATTCGTCGCTTTATGTTTGAGATGCCTTTTACTCAAGCTGGTAAAAGACAAGGAGGAGTAGAAGAACAGTGTAAGCGGCGGACTATTTTGACAGGTACTGACTGGATGGAAATTTCCTTTAAAAGAGAATTGCTCTTTTTTTTTTGTTTTTTATACTTAATTCTTGATGCTAGGTTCTTCTATATGTTGTATATTTTCTCAGGAAAAAAAAATCCTTTAGAAAGTTTCACACATGACTGTTGAAGATGACAAGAACTGCAAAGTATATCAAAATATTGTTAGACAAAACAATCTTTTAAACTGAGTATATACTTGGAAGTAACCCTCAAAAATGCGATATGCAAACACACTTTTAAATGACCATCCAAGAATACATGTATCATTGTGTGATTTCATAATCATTAAGTATTGGAGAAAGATCATAGTCAAATATGAGATTTTACTCTAGCTATTTGATTTTGCTGGGTTTTGGTTTGTGGGGTTTTTTTTGTTTTGGGTTTTTTTTTTAATAATGGAGTGTCTGCATCTCTCCCTTAACCCTTCCCCTTCCCTGTGCTCACCTCTCTGCTCTAAAACCTTGAAGAACAGTGGTATTATGCTTGCTGGTTTGGGTATGGGGTCTTTCAGCATTCTTTCAGTCTTTGGATGTGTAAAATGCAGCATTGATTCCTTTGACTAAAAGCACTAAAAGAGCCTGAAGGGCAGGTTCTGGTTTGATTTCCAGTCTCTGTTCCATTGTGACTTTGGTCTAATCACTGGGACAGTGAGTGCCCATCTATCTCCTCATAGGCTCAAACTTTAAAGATATATAGTTCACTGATAGAAAATGTTTTATTATACTTTTAAGGGAGATAATTAAAAGTTATGGTGTGTTTGGCAATGTTTTTATATAATGTGTAAATCTTAGTTTGTGAAATAAGTTGCGCTTTGGCTGTAAGCATTAATTCAAATGGTCTAATTCTGCTCTGTATGGGTTTTTCCATTTCACTTACTCAAAGTCCTTTATATTTATCAGCTAAAATACTTTTAATGTTTTTAGCCAAAACTGGGTTTTCACATTGGTTTCTTCAAGGGATAATCCTCAAGTAATTTTGGGGTTTTTTTTTCCTTAAGCTTCAAGAATTGTGAATCTCCAGTCTAGCTTTCCTTGTTCTTAGAAAAAGGCTGGTTTGTGTTTTGTCTCTGTTAAGTGTGAGCTTCTGTATCACTGCCTTAATATAGTGATAAAAACAACTTAAATAACTTTATAATGTCAGCTGTCCATAGCTAATAATTGTAAGGAAATAGAAAATACAGCTTTACTATTTTTGATTCTTCTCCTCTTTGAGATATATGGATTATAAGCAATTTTTACAGTTCTCATATGAATTAAGTTCCAATGCTTTATTTCTTCCTTATAATTAGTAGCATAATGACAATGATCTTTCTTTGCTGTAATACATGTAAAGCTATGCATATTTACATTTTCAATATTTTGTTTCCCTGTATGTTTGGTAATATTTATAATTATGTAATAAGTTACTCAATTGGTCAACTAATTATGACAAAATGAAATTTTAGCATTAAATTCTATCAAAACACAACTTATTCAAAATCCTTTTTCTGACTGTATTGAACTTGTTTCCATCCACAGCTATACATTGTTTCCCATATGTGAAAAAGCGCATTCCAGTAATGTACCAGCACCATACTGATTTAAACCCCATTGAAGTAGCCATTGACGAAATGAGTAAAAAAGTTGCAGAACTTAGGCAGCTTTGCTCTTCAGCTGAAGTAGATATGATTAAATTGCAGCTGAAGCTACAAGGAAGTGTCAGTGTTCAGGTAAGACCGTATACTTTGCCATTCAACTATTTAATTTGCTTCTGTCCCTGAGAAATTATGTAAGTAGCATTTTATCATCAGCTTCTATTCTGTATATTCAAGAATGTCCTAAATTAGAAATATGCTCACTGTTTGCAGTTATTTCCAAAATAGGAAAAGCAATAAAAGTATTTCATATAAACACTGATTATGGAAAGTTACATGAAAGGATTAAGATTCATCTCTACAGTTTATGGTGGCCTGAACCCCACAAGGTTTTGATGTAAAGCTGAAACTACTGTAAAATAATGACTGCCCATATGAGGATGAATGACCCTACTTTACCTAAATGTAGGTCTGCCCACAGTCATTATTGTTTTTGTGTTTTGGTAAGATCCCCATGGAGATGAAGAGGGAGTGCCAAAATATAGGAGGAGGGTAATAGCAGAAAATCTCACTTTTGGTTTGCCTAAGGCAAGCAAGAACTGAATGTGTGAAGAAACGATCAGATTCACTAAAATATGGTACATAGAGAAGGTGTAGCTTTTACAAATCAATATGGTAACGGTCTTAAGAATGCAGGGACAAAAGTGCTGCTCTATTATTTTTAACTGATTCAAATAAAAGGAACAGTAAACAGTCATCTGAAATGAACTGTTGTCATGTTGAAGATAAAAGAAAAAAACCCAGCAAGGTTCCCAGAATCAGGAAGATGTCAAGCTAGCGTTTGGGACAGAAGGGACGGGCTCTTACTGTTAATATAAAAGAATAATAGGGATGAGTCAGAAATCGTTGAATCTACTTTTCATTTCATTGCTATAATAGCGCAATTAAATTTCTGCTAATTATTACAGAATTTTCAGCTTGGAAGAGCATTTTCAGTAGATAAGCAGTCCAAACAGTAGTAGATTTAGGTAATTTTCCTGATTTTTCACACCTTGATTTCATGAACAGAGATAACAAATTGGCAACATCAGCAGTTACTTTGCCACATCATCAAAGTGGTTTCCTTGTGCCAGGACAGGTTCATACAGAGTGCTGTAGAGACCTCTCCGGCTCTTATGTTCCAACTCCAGCAGCTTTCTTATTTCATAAGTCCAGCTTTTTTTGAAATCAATATGTTCTAAGAAAAGCAAATCAGAAAGACATCTGTAGTACCTGTTATTGCTAAGATAATATGTTAGAGAACTGACTTTTATTTTGTAATTCTTGTTCTTTTTAGGTTAATGCTGGTCCATTAGCATATGCAAGAGCTTTCTTAGATGACACAAACACCAAAAGATATCCAGACAATAAAGTAAAGCTGCTAAAGGAAGTTTTTAGGTATGTTTTTTGGAGGGGGGAAAAAAAAAGACACTTTTTTTCAAGACTGATGTAAGACTTTTAAAAAAAACTTTTAACTTTTATAGTGTTTTATAGTGTTCTAACTGCATTAAAATCATACTTTAAGCTGGTGTTTTTAACCTTTGGGGTTTTGGATTCCTGATTGAGATCTTTTTTATTATTTTATCTAAATCAGGCAATTTGTTGAAGCTTGTGGCCATGCCCTAGGTGTAAATGAGAGACTTATAAAGGAAGATCAGTTGGAATATCAAGAAGAAATGAAAGCCAACTACAGAGAAATGGCAAAAGAGCTTTCTGAAATAATGCATGAACAAGTATGTGATGAAATTAAATACTGCGTTCAGAATGTAACTGTACTATGAACACACTAGAAAAAGTGTATGTAATGCTTTACATAAAAAGGTCTTTTTTTTTTCTATTGGAGTATATGCTTATTGTGGAATTGTGGGACTTCATGATTTTTTTTCTGTTCGTGAATTAAGTCATTAAGAAAGCAAATCTGGTTGGCATAAACCTGTTTTTTGGTCTGTTTGGTTGGTTGGTATGGTTTGGGGTTTTTTTTGTAGGAAACAAAGACTACCCTAAGGATAAACCAGATTTACTTATGTGAATATATATGCCATTTATACTTCATATGTGTCGTTACAGTGGTCTCTATTCAGTGACCGAGAAGGTTCATTTTAGTCTAGACTTCCTGGTAGTTGTAGGGGGATTTTATCTGCAAGCTTAGCCCTTTTTCTTTAGATTTTGGAAGTGTAAGCATTTACTTTTGCAACAATGAGTTAAACATCTTTCAAGAGGTATTCCAACACATTTTCTCGAGGGGAATCCACTACAGACAAGCTGAAGATACAGGAAAAGGAAAACCAGAACTCTTGTGGAGTGAGGTGTAGGACCTTGCATCTGTGATCTACAGTAGAGACATCTCCTGACTTCAGAGGCAAGGGTATTATTTCCAGAAGGACAGGAAGGGCTGAAAATTCATGCTTGATCCCTGCCATCTTCACATTTTTATTTGTCATATTTATCACTTCAGGTTTCTTTTCTTTCATCCGCTGTTATTTGTATAATCTTTTCCCAGAGCCGTAGAATGGCTTATCGTTCTTAGCCCTCAAGACTTGTATTTCTGGCCCACAAGAAATACCTGTGTTTTCTGATAATATTTTACCTTACAAATACTCGTCTATGAGGCTTCCTTACATGTATGACTGTAATAGAAACTTTTCTTAGTCTAGAACTCCAATGCATCCTAGTCTGCATACCTGACTGATACAAAGAGGAACTCTGAGTTTCTCTTGTTCATACAAAAACTGTAGGCTTTACTCAAAAATGAAATTGTACAGGAAAAGTCAAACTTGAGACCTACTTGAAGCGTTCAGCCTACCTGACATTTAAACGCTCTGTTAATCTTCCAGGTTTTTTTGCAGGATTGCGTCCTTTAGATGTACAGTGAGTTTACCCATTTACTATCTTTAAATTATTCTATTATTATCCAATAAATACTTGCTCAAAAAAACTAGTCAGCTTGTTGGTATAACAGCTCATCTGTAGGCTTATCTAAGAAAGATTTGCCTTTATTCTGTCCTTGCTCAGATCCAAAACTTTGATTATGATTTTTTTCTGTTCAAAAATGTGTCAAGCGTCTAAAGTTCACTTTGCACGCTTTCTTGTTCTCCATTATTTCCTGCTGTGGTTTTCTCGGGTACTGTGCTATGAGTAGCTCTTTGCTATGATATTGTTATGGTGAAGCACAAAAAGACAGCAAGCACATGGGCTTTTATGGTCATTCTCTTATTCTTTTGTTATACTTCCACAGGGAAAAGCTTACCACAAACCTAACTTTTTTTTAGCCACCAATGACAGAGAATATTATGAAAAAGGTTTGTAAGGAATGATACTATTTTGTCAGAATCTGTGTGTTGGGTTTTTTTAATAAAAACTTTATTTTATTAAATAA